GTTACACTTACACAAGATACAACGAATACACAGAAGCGCGAATTCCACTTATAGTATTTTCTTTAATACTCATATTCCATTAGTTCGCTCTCATTTAAAAGGAGGCAGAAGAAAGTTTAAAGCGATATCTTAAAATTAAAGGCATATTTAGTTACTATGTATGTACACGTTAACGGTCACTACTCGCCAAGCAATGGCAAACCTTCGTGTATGCATTATTTTATGGCAGACTTCTGCTGATTGAAAATCCGCATTGAACGGTAAACAAACGCATTGGCATAACGAAGTCGATTTTCCTTCCACTAGGATTATTAAGTTACGAAATTTATATAGAATTTATATTTTATCTATGTGTCTATTTATACAAATAATAATACTTCTGCACACATTAAAANTTATAACCTGAACTAGTTTATAATATATACTATATAGTATACTGCTTCTTTATACATTTCATATAAAATAAATTATGATATGCTCCGTTACCGTTACCACTTAGCGCTGACTCACTTAGTACCAGGAATGATAGAATGGCTGTGGCACAGCCGGATAGTTCATCTTTGGTGGCGAGCTGAATCCTGCACTTCCGAAATTCTGCTGCATGAAGTGGGACGAGTTGCCAGCCGCTGTCGTGGAGCCCATACTGCTGGCCGGCGTCGAACCGTGATGGAAACCCAAATGTGATGAGGCATATTGGGCGGCAGCAGCCACATGATGATGGGCATGCGGGTGCGCGTGGAAAGATTGCGGCGCCGGTGGTGCGCATTGCGAGTGATTATGCGTAAAGTCACGCTGATGATGGAACATCATATGCGCCGCCGCTACCGACGCCTCGGGTACATGTGATGAACTCGAGTTCAACGAGTCCTCTGGTGAGAGTGGTGCTGTGGGACGTGTGGCTGCACCGCCGAGATTAGCCGCATTCGAAGACGAATGTTGTTGTGTCATTGATGCATTCCAGCTGGTATAGAGATGCTGCATTTGCTGGGACTCTGCCTTTAATGTGCCTTGTAATTCCTCAACAGCGGACGCTGTGTGGCCAGCAATATTGCCGCTAGCATTGTGCTGTTCGTTGCCATTGACGGCTGTTAAGCTATTGGGAGTGGGCGGAAGCTGTATGCCATTGCTATTACCGTTGGCGCCGAAAGCTGGTGATACCGATGCATTGGGACTCTCATCGCGTGACATGGCTTGCGCCGTCACCGTCGCAGCTTCTGTTGCGATGTAAGATAGATGGTGCGTGCTATTGCTTTGACACGAGTTCATTTGGTTGTCGTTGTTATTGTTACTGTTGGAGCGCATTAACTGCGATATCGATGGATATTGTGCATGCAGCGATCCGCCTATTTCCACGCTGTGCTGCGCGCTAGCGCTCGCAGATGCCACAGTCGCACCGGCAGCGCCTAGTAAATTATGCGGCGGCAAATTATATGTGGAAGCGTAAAATTGATGTGGCGGTGTCATCGAAGTAGTACCCGCAGCCGCGGCCGCGGACGCGCTCGTCGATAAATTTGCCGCCGCGGCTGGCGCGGGATGGCCTGCATAGAAATCGTACATTTGCTGCTGATATGCCGCAGCCATTGCCGTAGCTTCCGACGAAACGGCGGGCAACATGCCTGCCGCTGCCGCAGCCGCGGCGTAATTATTCGCCGCTGCAGCGGCAGCAGCAACTGGTGGAAACTGATGAGATACATAACCACCGCCGCCGGCGCCGCCTGCCATGCCGCTAACACCACCGCCAGCGCTCATCGACGACGGCCCAGAGGTGTTTTGTTTGCGTAAGCGCGCACGTCGATTACTAAACCACACCTGTATGCGCGCCTCGGATAGATTAGTGCGTCTGCGCCAGTTCCTCGCGCGTGTAAATGTCCGGGTATTGCGTGCGTTCGAAGGCGCGTTCCAACTCTTCCAGCTGCAGAGCGGTGAAAGTGGTGCGGCTGCGTCGTTGCTTTCGCTTCAAGGCAATGCCGGGTTCGCTCTCACAATCGGAAGCTTCCTCATCAGATTGTTTGTGTGAATGTTCGGAGCTTGAGTTGGTCTTTTGGCCATCATCTTCGGCGCCGGGGGCATCACGTCCACGCACCAAGCGGGAAATGGCTCGAGACTGAAGGTGCTGTTGTGCGATCGCATATGCCATCACGTATCAGTTTGTCACGTATTTCCCACGAGAATATGCTTGGATTTTGGCGCTTGTACTCCTCAATGCGATTCTCAATTTCTGGTGTTGCAATGCGCGGCTTCGAACCGCCAATAACACCAGGACGTATGGAACCGGTTTCCTGGTAACGATTGAGAATTTTCGAAACACAGCCATGTGAGACGCGCAACTGACGGGATATTACGCACGGACGTATACCTTCGGCGGCCATTTCGACAATCTTTAAGCGTATATTGTTGGGCAGCGGACGTCCGTTAATGAAAACACCACCCAATTGGTTGAACGCGTCCTTGCCCGCATCTGTAAAGGAAAAAGGGAGAAAATTTGTTAAATTATATTGAGCCAACGAAAAGAAGTAGCAAACTGCAGAGATGATATTTTGCAGAACTGGAAAAAAGTCCTGGACTATCTCGCAAGTCTGGAAACTTTGAATGATTTGTTAAGATTCCATAGAAAATAATTTCTAGTTTCAAGTTTGCCAGTTCTACGGATTTAAGGAAATCACCTAATAGTACAAATATGTTGAGAATATGGAGCCTCTTCTGGCCGCGTTTCCAAAAATAAATACTTTTATGGTGCTTTGTTATGCACTGTAACCATTTTACGAACTCACAATGACCCAGCGTGTAATGGCAACTAATTTTCCAATTGCGCGAAACGCCACAGGAACGGTAGTGGACGTTGTGCCGCCGACTATAGGAAATAGCCTAAGGTCAGGTAAAATGCATCGATGTCAAACGGACTATTAGCACTGCGCGCGCGCGCCTTCACTCAGCTATTTCGGCTAACTTACAGCGTTGACATTTTTTTCTTTCACTTTATGCTTGTTATTATTTAGTTTACGACTAACGTAGAAATAGTTAAATAATTTGTTTCTTCCTACTAACTACATCTGTATGTACATATGTATGCTTGTAGAGTATGCGCACAAATAGCCAACGGCAGCAGCAGCTAGCGACAACAATTGACTTCTACGGAAGTCGGAGACGTATAATAATATTGAATAGCGCAAGGTCATATAAATTTCTAAAAATTTGTTATCGACTGTGACTGTTAATGGTGTTAATAGGTGAGACGAAATGCTAAATAGGCGAGTAGATGAGCGAACAAGCGAGCGGGAGAGCGAGTATAAAAAGCACAGGCTGTTGAACAATCATTATCTATTAAGAGGCAGAGTAGTAAATAAAAATGCTCAGCTGAGGCGATATACGAGTACATAGGAGCACGGTGACCATTAGAGTGTCGAAAAAAATTTTTCCGAGATAGGGTTTGGGGCACCTTCCAAAATTTTTCCTCTTGAAGATGGAGAAACTCGAGCTGGTTTATAAAAAGCGAATTTTAAAAGATCCATACCAATGGGTAGCAATCCCACGAATTTCCAAGCAGAGATTCATGTAAGGGAGATCTGTGAAAGAGAGAGCCCCAGAAGAGGCATAGCTTCTAAAACATTGTGTCGGAAGTTCCACACAGTAACTCCACACAATATTCCATAGTCTGGGACACTTCTGTGCGCACACCAAAGCATATTTAAGGGATATCATAAACAAGTGGGTTGATAAAAAGTTCCACGACAGCCGGGTCTACGTAAGCGGANTGGAACATCTCATGTGTCACTGTCTAGCTTTCGAAAATTTGCGACTCAGCAGACCAAAGGACTAGGAAATTCGCTAAAAATTGCATTGTGACTAGAATTTAAGTATAGGCCTTCACTTTATTGGTAACACTTAGGAGCAAGTAATGGTATTCTTGAGGACTCAAGGATCAGCGAAAGTAACCTAACCTTTTGAAAAAATTCAAATTAGAAATGGGCGCGAGAAATTGGGACCCGCGGGACCCAAGGTGCAGATTTAAAATTGCCCGGGATGGGCGGTATCGAGACGGTCGTTAAATTTTTTTCTGGCGGGACGGGACCAAACTCATATCCCGACACGCATGATAAAACCGCAACCTCCGAAAATTCAGAAAATCTTCAAAAGATCTTTAATACATACTTTTTTTAATTAATTTGAAAAACATGCGAATTTTTTTTAGTGAAAGATTTCGGGACTCACGGGACCCACGGTAAAATCCTAAAAAACGTCGGGATAGGCAGGTTCGGGACTTACAAATTGAATTTCAGGATGGGCGGGATCGGGATTAAATATTTAGTCCCCACTTCAGAGTACTCAGAAGCTCTTCAAAGTGTCCTTATTCTCATTGGTAATATTCGACAATCACCCACACCTTTTCTGGGCAAGTACTTGCGGCTTATGTTATGGTGACTCAGGCCAACCGATAAAATTTATACAGAATGACCGCAGGACTTAATTGCTTGGCTACTGGACACGAAGTCAATATTGCGTAGCTGATCGCAGACGCTCAACCGGGTCTTTTACTCAAACAACCTCCAAAAAGCAAGATTTAGCTAATATACTATTGGAATTTGACTGCAATCAGAATCAAGTACATAAGTTACAAATGCTTGCACTCAACCGATTCTTACTCACGAGTATGGCACGAAAAAAGTCCATACAATTTGGTGTTGGGAGTGTTTGCCATCAAATGGGAAATTTTACTTTGATTGTCATTCGGGAAATCTAAATTGATTGATCACCCTTCTACCTCTTGGGATCAATGCCCGTTTTGTCATACTTTTACCTAAAAGTAATCCTGAATCAATACTTAGCCATCCTTCGTAACGGACCTTACTTTATTAATCGTGAGCTACGATGGTCTTTCAACAACAGGCAGAATGGCCTATTCTAGGGCAGGTGACTAAGCTTATACGGAATAGTATGATTTGGAAACGAATTGAATGTGGATTCGAGACAGTGACTGTGATAATGGTTCGGAAATGTTGAGAAGAAGCAGCACAAGCCAAAGCCAGCCTAAAATATCTAACTAGTTTAAGAACTGTTTCGGTTCAGTTTTCGTCAACTCCAGATTTTGGAAACACGTGGACAAAGTGCCACAAAATCGTATTTTTGGCAATGTTTGAGAAGCTCAAGCGAGCAAACAAATGTTACTAAGCCTTTCACTTAGACTTGAATTAAAGCTTGAACCTTCGGTTACAATCCCAGAAACTATCATGCCAGCACCTTGACCTGAACATCATTTAGGCATATTGCATCGGTCCTAAATACTAAGCAATAGTCAGACCAATACTACTCAATGGTTCTTTGGTGTGTTGGAAGTCCTCCTACCTGTGGCTAATGGAGAAGGTTCAGCGTCTCGCTGGGCTGTGCATCATGGAAGCGTTCGGGTCTTCTCACCTGAGTCGTCAGTTTTCCGCCTATTGACCTAATCGCGGAAAATCGTGCAGCTGCAGTTAGATTGACGGCCATAGGGAATTCAATTAGAGAAATATTTGCACAGCACAATGGTTGCTAGAAGCTCAGGCAGTACAGATTGTATGGCACCTTGCTTTAATTGGGAACGAATGTATCGCACCACGACTGAGGAGGAGGAGTGGCGTAAGAGAATGCAACCTAGCCATAGATCCCTAAAAAGTTCCACGGATGACTCTTAAATGGTAACGAGAGTGGGTGTCGAAGTATAGTGTCGGCAATTGAATGTCGGGCGGGCAGTAAGGTTACTTTGACCAGCGCAGGTTTTCGTTATGAGGATAGCACCAAAGATAGCCTACACGGAAAGGAAAAGCAGCTCAGGAGTAAACGTATACTTAGATATAAAGCGTTAAAAGAGCTGCCAATCTGAATAGCGGCGGCACCATGTAAAGGAAAAGAACGATGTTGCTAGCGTACGCAGATGATATCGACATCGTAGGTCTGAAACAAAGGGGTGTAACCGCAGCATTTCCAAGTTTAGAAAAAGAAGTTAAAGAGGTTGGTCTAGCGGGGAATGAAGACAAGAAAAAGTACCTCCAGGCAACATATAAAGAGTCCACGCGTTTCGGGGCAGACGTCACTGTTGGCAGCTATATCTTTGAAGCAGTGAAGGACTTTGTATACCTAGGTTCCTGTTCGTTTAGATGGCGGGTATAGGAGAAGATGGACTGACGAACTGTATGAGCTTTTTACGAACGTAGTTAAGCGCATAAAAATACAGCGATTTCGCTGGCTTGGACATTTTGAACGCAAGGATGACGACGCTCCGGTGAAAAGATCCCTCGACTCCGCACCCATGGGTGGAGAACGAAAGCAAGGGCGGAAGGACCAAGTGCAGAAGGACCAGTCTGTACTCGGTATGAGCAACTGGCACAAATCCGCACAGGAGAAAGGAAATTGGAGAAGCTTTTTGGTCTCGGCCCAGACCGACAAACGGTTGTAGTGCCAAATAAGAAGAAGAAGAAGAATTAGATATAATATAGTATTTAATCTTAAAACGTCCTTCGCAGCCGGAAGGGCATTGACAGGCTGGTCGCAAACAGAACGCATAGAGGACAGTGAAAAAGCAGATGAGACTGTCAAGGGCGCTGGGCAAGTCAGCATCCCGAACGGACGGTCTACATTCAAAGCCTACATCAACACTTGTGTAATGAAAAAGACGACAGTAGGATTAGGCAGTTCAGGGCTAAATGGAATGAGTTAACTCCCTGCTAAACTGTTAGTTACTCGTTTCTTGTTACGGCTATCAAGGAAAGGAAGAATTGCAGAATGGCTACAGGATAGCTTACGGTGCATATCTATCCTGGTGGCTGGCCATCCACAAAGAATGGGTATCAGTGTTGCCACACATGGGCTTTTCCTAACAAAACTGGTAGGTTTTTTTTTCATTTGGTAGGTTGGTAGGCCTGGTTGGATTTTGGTAGGTTCCGTAATACCTATTTGCGAAGAATAGAAAATATGTATCTCCGAATATTTTAGCAACCTTTTTTACACGATAATTTCGTCGTTGCGTTCGTATAACGGCGGCCGCAGGCATGTATCTAAGTATACCGGATTCCTAAGTACAAACGTATACCCCAGGACTGCTTACGGGGCACAATCCATGGGAACGACGTATGGTCAACATAGGCATCACCGACGGTCCACGATGTACATCTTGTTTGGTTAATACGGATAGTACGGAACGTTTTCTCTGCCACTGTCCGGCTTTTCGCCAGTTATAAATGGTAAATTTTTGAGACGGATGTATTGAGAACGGACGAGATACATTCCCTTTCTTTCAAAAAAACTTCTAGGATTCATAAAGAGGCCTGGTAAGTTTTCAGAGGAGCAATAAACTCACACCAAACCTATATAACCCTTTCCTCTAAATCCTATCTCTAGGCCTTATGTACAATGAATGGACAATACTGGCTGCGTGTTTAGAAAAACTTATTTTTCATGGTTTTACCGGACACTCTCAATTCCATTCCATTCCATTCCATTCAACCTAATCTAGGCTTACAACCTTTCCAGATCCAATTGGTGCATCATTTGCGCTGTGCGATCAGTCAATGGGCACAAAATCAATTGAAAGTCAACCCACTTGTTTTATCGAAATATTCTGTTTATTAATGAGGCTTATTTTTGGCTTTATGGTGGTGTCAATAAGCAAAATTGTTGCACTTCTAGTAAAGGAAATACACCAGAGATTAGCGCGGCAAACCGAAAACATTGGACGCCTTGGGAGACGAAAAATGAATTTCCAGAATGCGACACACCCGTGGCAGTAGGGGCGCCCACATGTCCGAAATTATATTCAAATACTAACGGCACGAAAGTATCTTTTTTAATGAAGTAAATTTTTAGTTTGAATTTATGTAATCTCATGATTTTAATTAAATTTTAAAGTTCTATGCTTTGAAAAAAAAATTTGATTACGTAATGCCAGATTTCCACTAGGCATTAAATTACAAAAATTGTAATTTTATTGCTTTTGTCGTTTCAAAGGTAAAATTGGTATATTTCCTCAAAACTACCAAAAGTTTCGAAAATTTTTCTCGAGTATTTATGTATCAAAATTTGTATAAAACAACTTTTCTTACTTTACTAACCTTGCATGGTGGCGTATCCATTGAAGAAGGGTCTGTGCATTGCGGCAGCAAATGCGGTTACTGTCATTGTTTTTTAGCTTCCAGATTTTTTTTTGTATTCCAATAAACTTAAAGGTTGTTCCCTTACAAATTGGCGCGAACACACAACCAATTATTTTTTTTTTTAAATGTCTTTCGATCGTTTTTTTCGCACTTTTATTTACACAAATCTATCCAATCGGCGCTTTAAGTAAATTTTTGGTTAATTTTTCCGCGAAAAA